ATTTTTTGTAGCTTTAGTAGAGACGGGGTTTCACCAGGTTGACCAGGATGGTCTCGATCTCTTGACCTCGTGATCCACCCGCCTCGGCCTCCCAAAGTGCTAGGATTACAGGCGTGAGCCACCGCGCCCGGCCTGTATCTTTCTCTTGAGGATAGTAATATAGTTATCCTTTGTCCCCACCTAAATTTCATCTTGAATTGTAATCCCCATAATCTCTACTTGTCAAGGGAGACACCAGGTGGAGGTAATTGAATCTTGAGGTCAGTTCCCCCAGGCTGTTCTTGTGATAGTGAGTTCTCATGAGATCTGATGGTTTTATAAGGGGCTCTCTCCACTTCGCTGGGCATTTCTCCTTTCTGCTGTCTTGTGGTGTCTTGCTCCCTCTTCACCTTCTGCCATGATTTTAAGTTTCCTGGGTCTTCTCCAGCCATGCTGAAGTGTGAGTCAATTAAACCTCTTTCCTTTATAAATTACCCAGTCTCTGGTAGTTCTTTATAGCAATATGAAAAAATGTATTAAAACAGGTGAGTTCTAGGTAAGAAAGTTTTTGTTTCTGTTTTTGTTTTTGTTTTCCTACTGAGCACCTTGATGAATTTGGACATGCAAAGAAAAACCTAGTGGCTGAACCTGGAAGTAGGAACCAAAGAGAGAAAGAATTGCACTGACAATCTAAGAGAGAAGAGGGCAAGAATGTGAGGTGAAAGAAGGTAGAAGTCATAGGAATGAGTTAACCAATGACAAAAAATCTCTGATGATGGGGTCCCAGAAAGGTCTCTGCACTATGCATCTAAAGTTATTTTTGTTGTTTTGATGTAACTCTGCCGAAATTCCCCCCAGTAAGTGGAATTCCCCCACTTCCTAAAACTTCAGTCTCCCTGTACTCATGGCTTCACCTAGCAAGTCAGTGATCATTCCCGGGAACGGAGGTGAGGATGTGGTCACCCATGGCTGGGTGAAAAAGTTTCTGGAGCAGATACCTGGTTTCCAGTGTTTGGCTAAAAACATGCCCCACCCAATTACAGCAGGAGAGAGCATCTGGCTGCCCTTCATGGAGGTGGGGCTGCACTGTGATGAGAAGACCATCATCATCATCCACAGTGCTGGGGCCATCGCAGCCATTAGGTATGCAGAAACACATGGAGTATATGCTATTGCATTCGTGTCTGCATACATATCAGACTTGGTGATGAAAATGAGTGTGTAAGTGGATACTTCAACTGCTCCTGGCAGTGGGAGAAGATCGAGGCCAGCTACCCCCACATTGTGTAGTTTGGTGCCACTGATGACCCATTCCTTCGCTGGAAGGAACGACACGAAGTAGCTGATAGGTTGGAAACCAAATTGTACAAATTCACTGACTGTGGCCACTTACAGAACACAGAGTTTCATGAACTGATTACTATGGTAAAGTCTTTGCTAAAAGTACCAGCAGAGACTGGATGATTTCTGCTATTTTGCATCCCAATATAGGGGCAGAATAATAATATCTACTATCAGCCAATTACTAGACACATAAAACATCCAGTTAAGTTCCAAAAGTGCCTGAAAAACAAACACAAGTTTCAAAGTTCAATCTGATTTCAAATAGCATTTCCATTTTCCTAGAATCTAAAACTCACCAAACTGAACTACAGCAGTATTTTCCCCATTTGATAAGAGACATAAGGACAGCTTAACTACCCTTCTTTATCCAATGTAAGTCAGAAACAGAACTCAGGTTTCCTGATTCCCACTCCCAAGTAAAACTAAATAGGTTGTATGTATGTTGCAGCTATTGTACTCTTGTCCTCTTTGAAATAAACCTTTTCTATTTCATTGGGGAACAAAAACATGACTGAAAATCCAAATTGTTAGCTTAAAGCTCAAAACACTACCTGCTGTTGCAAGCTGGCCCAGGTCATTAAATCCAGACGAGAGCCTTCACTTTTGACACCTGCCCCTGAGTCCCTCAGACATGTTGAGAGAGACTGAGACAGGGGTCTTCCAGGGTCAGGCAGGAAGGAGAAGTACAGCAACATACATATGTAACATTCATAGAATTGACTAGATTTGTTTAAGACAAGAGTGGTGGGGATTAGGGCCTTGTGGAGCGCTCATGGCCTGTCTAAATTGTTGCCTTGTGGAAATGGGGCAGAGTGTTGCCAATTTTCTGATTTTTTTTTGTGTGGGAAAAATCTCCAAACTGTGGCTTTTAAATTTGGGGAATATATATATAATCCATATGCATACGGATTATGTTAGTTGGCAACAACAGTCTACTTAAAAATATTTACAAACACTGCAAAACAAATAAGATCTAAGCCATCTATTTGTGACCACACTCTTAAGCATTAACTTAGCCAGGGCTTTTAGATAATTCTCTGTTAAAGACAAAGTCTGAAAAAAGACTAAGATAACCAAAATGAACATAATGTCAAAGGATGATATCAGGGGAACAATTTGGACTTTGTTCCAAAGTCGAATTTTTTTTTGTTTGGTTTTTGTTTTTTATTTTTTGGTTTTTTTTGAGACAGAGTCTCACTCTTTTGCCAGGCTGGAGTGCAGTGGCACGATCTTGGTTCACTGCAACCTCCACCTCCCGGGTTCAAACGATTCCTGCCTCAGCCTCCCCAGTAGCTGGGACTACAGGCATTCACCACCACACCCAGCTAGTTTTTTTCTTTTTCCTTTTTTTTCTACACCACATTATTAGTTTTTGTATTTGGTCTCTATCTCTTGACTTCGTGATCCGCCCGCCTCGGCCTCTTAAACTGCTGGGATTACAGGTGTCAGCCACTGCGCCCAGCCAAGTGTGTTTTAAAGAAACTTTTCCCAGAGGTGATAGCGTGCACCTGTAATCCCAGCTACCCAGGAGGCTGAGGCAGGAGAATCACTGGAGCCCTGGCAGGGGTGGGGCAGCGGGGGAAGGCTACAGTGAGACGAGATTGCACCACTGTACTCCAGCCTGGTTGACAGAGCGAGACTCTGTCTCAATGAGAAAAAAAAAGAACCTTTCCATACTTTATGTTTTGTTCTCTAGAGTTCAACCTTTTAACTTCTATGGCCCTTTAGATCTCTTTTGAACACATTCCATGATTTTTCTCTTGATCATACTACCTCCACAAAAACCTTTTTCAGCTGATTTTTCCAGCACTATGGGAGGCTGAGGTGCATAGATTGCTTGATGCCAGGAGTTTGAGGCCTGGGCAACATAGCAAGAACTTATCCCTAAAACATATTTAAAAATTAACCATTCTGCCAGCAGGAAAGGACAAAAAAATAAGTAAATAAATAACCAGTCACGGTGGCGCATGCCTGTAGTCCTAGCTACTTGGGAGGCGGAAGCAGGAGGATTGCTTGAGTCCAGGAATTTGAGGGTTCAGTGAGCTATAATTCCTCCACTGAACTCCATCCTGGGTGACAGAGTAAAGACTCTGTCTCTTTGAAAGAAAAATAATAATAATAATAATAATAAATTTTTTAAAACCCTTTTTTCTTTTTTTTTTTTTTTTTTTTTTTTTGAGACGGAGTTTCACTCATGTTACCCAGGCTGGAGTACAATGGCGCGATCTCGGCTCACCGCAACCT